TCTACTCCAAGTACTGTCTTTCCTACATCCTTTCTTTTTGTCAATACTAAAAATCCTACTCATCTTTACTCATATTTTCCCCTGTCTTTTCATTCTTCACATACCTAATTCATCTTCTCATGTATAATACCTTGTCATTTGTCTCCTCAGCTCCTGACTGCTCTTCTTTAGTGCAGCTACTACACCATAGCAACATTCACACATGATTATTTTGATCATGTCCCCTCTCTGCTCAAAAGCTTCAAGGAAAAGTTAAACTTCATGACAAAAGGCATGTCCTTGATCAGTACTGACTGACTTTCCTAGGCAGCTCTTCCAGAAATCTGCTCATGCTACAAATTCCTGTCAATCCACCCCATTCCCATATATCACCCCAAATCATCTCATTTTGTTTTCCTCAGATGGAACACCTTCTCAGCACTACAAATTCCTATCCATCCTTCAGTGCCAGAATTCAACATGTCCTATCTGACACAGAAAAAAATACATATTTCTAGTATTTCTCAGCTGTGTGTTTTAAAGTTCCTCTAACTCTCGATTCAAATTTTCTACCCAATCAGACCATGAAAGATGTTTATACAACTTTGAGTTCATTCCCTGGGTTATTAAGAATCATTAGTGTATGAAGTATTACGATTATAAACCAGAGTTGCATTTAACACTGATGATGTCCTGGCCATGAGTGGCCATGGTCAGACTAACTAGGATGGGAACAAAGACAATGGAGATGAAGGGCCCACTGAGTAGCTATTGGATCTGCCCAATGAAGAGACAATTGAAGAGTGCATTTGAAGGGATGACAATCAGGTAAATTTTACGTATCAAATTTGAGAATCTAGAGATGGAGGTGAGGGGACAGGCAAGAATTAATTCTGAACTAGAGCTCAAAAGCATTTTCTAAATGTATTTATTTAATCAAAAACCAGAGTCATAGAGACTGAGGGAGGGAGGGAGAGATTAATCTTCCATCTCCTGATTCATTCCCCAGATGGCCACAATGGCCAAGGTTGAACCAGACCAAAATCAGAAGCTTCATGAGGTCCCCCATATGAGTACATAGGTTCATCTTCCACTGTTTTCTTAGTCTTATAAGCACAAGGCTGGATTTGAGGTAGGGCAACTGGGAATCAAACTGGCAATATGGGATACTGGCATTACAGGCTTTAATATAGTGCCAGCGCTAGAGTTAAAATTTTAATGAGACACACACTCTGAGATGCCCACTCTTTACTATATTGACCTGAAAAATAAGTGTTTCCTTAAATTCCTCTTTGAAGGCACTCAGCTTACTCTAAATTTCTATCGTGCATTTTGTAGACAAACCACATTAACAACCAAGAAAATATCCCACTTAGATCTTTTAAGAATGAATTTGATATTCAGCTATAATAAGTATAATTAAATGACAGCTTACAACTATAAAACTTTTAGGCTGTGCCTCAACTGATGAGTCACAGCCTTGCTCTTCCAGGGATCGTCCAGCCAGCATGGTAGAAGCATTAGGCCTGGTGGTCTCTGCTCAGTGTGGGGCTCTTTTCAAAGGAACATTGCTTCTGAAGATAACCTTTGATTGAGACTTTCTCAGATCTGATTGTGATGTGAAGTCTTTCCCTGCCCTGCTATGCTTCCTCCCCCTTTTTATCTTTACCCCCAATGAATGACTTGATCTACTGATTCTTTCTTAGCATCTGTTCCCAGAGATTCTTTTCCTAAAATTGTATACCTAGTAAACAACTAGCCATACCAATTAGGACCTGAAGCTAGAGACTAAGTGATAAAGGAAAGAGAATTCCATTGTGTGGTGGTTAGAGGGCTGACCTCTAGGATCTGGGTTCAAACCTCAACCCCTCCACTTTTGAGCTTGTATGTCCTTAGACACATCACATGCCTTCTCAGCATCTCAGTTTCCTCATATGTAGAATGGTGATATTGGCAATAACTGCAGCCTATATAAGACAATGCATTTAAAGCATTTGGTATAGTGCCTGACCCATAGTAAGTGCTCAAGAAATTTCCATTAAAATTATTGAGTAGACTTCAAAATGCTATTGACAGATGTCGTTTAGTATAATGAAATAGAAATGTTAATGAGATTGGTTAAGAACACCTAACACTAATCTCTTTCCATCAGTTTGATTCCTGAGTACTTCCTCTTCTTTCTTGCCTCCTGCCATGATTGTTTCTTTTCCACCCACCCAGATGCCTTCGCTTTCCCCTTCCCATCAATTCCTTCCTAACCTATTTGAGAATTGTGCCTTCTCTGGACAGCCTTCCTTGTCAACTGTAATTGTTGTCTATACAGGCAAATGCTAAGAATTGTGTCATCTTGAAACTAAATAAAACAAAAGAATAACATAATTTTCAAACCGTGGTGATGATATCTGTGCCTCCAGAAACAATGGTTTGTAACAGAATAGCCAGAACACTCTACCCTGCCTCCCTGGACAGAATCTATCCTCCCCTCTACCTTTCGTCTTAAGGAAAGGAGACCTTGTGGCCATGTGATGCCTAGCAGAAGTTTGCTTAAAAGATGATTTTTCCAGCACTGGGTGCATGGTCAGAATACAACTTGTGCCTTTAAAGTTGTCATGCTATGTTTAAGTTAGGAAAAATAAAATTTTTGCCAAGAAAATCTCAGTCATCGAATGGGTGAATTTCTGGATGGGGCAAGTATTCATACAACCATCTTAGATATTGAGGCTCATATAAATCTGCTTTATAAAACAAGTGTTTGGTTTATAATATTTCTAAAACCCAGTAGGAAACACTAATTAGAGGCAGATGGCATATGTGACATTCTTTCCTCTCACTATTTAGTACGTATAATACACACTAGAAAATGGCACCGGATGTTTTCCATGTCTAAGTTCAGAAATATAAAGCCTGTTTTTACAGCTGTGAAACTGACTTCAAACACAAATACCAACTTCAAAATTGAGGTGAAATTATTGTATCATTTGGTTGAATGCCAGAAATGATTTTACACAGCTTAATATTTTAGATATGTGCTAATGTATATTGTAATACATTAAAAAATGTGTTACTAAGTCTCTAGCCATCCTATATCATCCAACATTCAATTTGAAATCTTCATAACATGTTTACCTTCACAGAATAACTCCTGTATTGAATGGGACAGAATTGGATATATTTCTAGTATGAAAAGTATCTAAAATAAAAATCAGTTCCATACAGCAATGTATGAGTATTATCTTAATAGTCTAAACATATTTTTAAATTGCTCCTAATATAATATGTGCTTTCAAGGAACCAGCCCTACATACTGAGCTGCATTTTTACTGTACTATTTTGTACCTATGAATTTAACATGGTTGCTAAAACTCAATAAGTTTTTAATTTTTCAAATATAAATAATTCTGTGAGTTAAAATAAATCAAAGTATTACATCATGAACAAAAAAGGAAAGCTATTTCTCATATTTTTTAAAAATACTCATTTTCATTGTTACAACTATAGACTATCTTATCAAAGTTTACAATCACCAATAATTCAAATAAAATCAGACCCAGTTGTTTCCTAATCAATATCATGAACAAAAAATAATTATTGGCCAATTTAAATAATTAAACTATTCACTACATAGTTTTGCATGCATGGGGAAATTATAACAGCATTGATACTGTCCTAATTGGTTGATCACCTTGATAAGCTATATTGAAGATGCCTCTGTTTTCAAACATCAATGTCTACTGCACATTTTGAGGACATACTTGTGAAAATCTATTTTATTTTATTTCTTAGAAAATTAGTAATTCTCTCTGAATTTTGTTTTATCATCTTTACAACAATTAATTTATCTTAAAACAGGGGCATAGCACAAAGTGAAAGAATAATAAAGAAAAAGCAAGTGTCTATAACAGCTGAGCAATAATCAAGACAAGTTGTTTTTTGTAAGCATACAGCACATTAGAGTCATAATGAGTTCACCACCACAGTGAGAAATACATGCATACAGTTTTCAAAATAAGTCTTTTGAATAAAGTATTGCAAACATCCTTGTAGCTTAAGGATTGGAAATAGCAATTAAGTCTGAACCTTAAATCATTCGTCTCTGTAACTAGAAGAGCCAGCCCAGAGCATGTAAATCTCACCCAATGAGACAAGGGATGCTGGGTGTATAATTAATTGCTAAGTAATTTCTTAATTTTGGAATCTAGCACCCAGCCCTAGCAAATAAATAATGTGATTTATGAGTGTGCACTCCAGTGTTGTTTAGCAGAGGTCAATAAACACAGGCACATGCTAAACGTACGGTGTGAACACAATCCTCCAAGCTACAAAACACAGCAGGGCTCACAGATAGGAAACCTACCCCCACCTACTTAGCATTCAAGCACTAATATTTAGAATACCTAAGATGCCTGCTGAACACTGCAGCTCAGCGTCCCCCTGGGGTTCCTCAAAAGCAGAACCGCATCTCTTCCCTCAGTGATTACTGAGTTTTAAGAACACAGGTCTGGTGGGGCAGAAATTCTCATGCAACAGCAAGATAACTCTTCTCTGCAAATTTTCAAGCACCCACATCTCCTGCTTCCCCTACTGCCCCCCACCTCACACTACCTTCCTTGTTAAGGAGGGTTTTTTCAAATGGGTTTCTGCAACACACCATTTGCATGGATTTGAAAAAGATATTTTTTCCTCTACTTGATGCTGATGTGTAAGATGTTTACAGATCTGATTAGGAAACCCGGATATACATAACAAAGTCTTGCTTTCAATGAAATTCCTTTAGTGAAAGCTGTCCACACAGACATAGCAGTGCATAAATAATACATATTTACACACACAAACGCCTACATTAAAAAGAACACATGTGCACCCGCACACCTAAGCCAGTAATTACGCCACATCATTCTACAAACCCCTTTTGCAATTCGTTCTTGCATGCATGTCATTCAGAAGACACATGTTTAAAACATAACAAGCAGCTGCACACAATACACGCCGAAGTGGTATGTTTAGAGGAGCAAATACGTTACCAGACGCATTTTGAAGTTTCTGGAACACCTGCAGGTAAAAGGAGCCTGTGAGCCGGATGCTGGCACACGATATTCCTCCGAATCACAGAGCTCGATGTGACCGTGGGTGAACGTGAGGGAGTGTGAGGCTGGAAACCTTTGAGTTGAGCTCACTCTAGGCATCAGAAAGCCTCAAAGAGGGGAAAGAAAAAAGCAGCCCACAGACAGCTAGATGAGAAACTTCTGGCTCCTCTCCAGCTCAGGAATGAATTCTCTGTCATTTGGAGACGTATAGTGATGGAAATGAAGAGAAACTTGGATTTGCCGGTGAATTTGCTCAGCCATGCAGAAATGGGCAGGTAACAGTCTCTCTTGGTCGTTTTAAACAGTCACCCAGAAACAAGACTGAATCAAAAAATTAACAGGCATCCTTTTCTGAAAAAATAAAAAGGCTGTTCCGGCTAGCTTCCCCAGATGCCTTTACAAACTTCAAATGGATCATTCCATCAGCTATTTGTTGCGCGTTTTATTAATCCCAGTGTAGAAGTAAACTAGAAAATCTAATTCTTTTTACATAGAAAACTGGATTTATTGCTTCTTTTTTATAATGTACGTTAGACATATAAATACATAGATTTACTTACAGAGTTCTCATTTTTCATGTAAAACTACTGTTTGGTCCAGATAAAATGCTAAAGGCTTGTTCACAGCTTTCCAAGAAAGTTAAGCCAAGAAAGAGAAAAAAATGCTTTAATACTCAGAAGCTGAGCTTAGGCCCAGATACAGGGACATACAGCTAAATGTGAGCCCTGAGCAGGCAGGTGGCTCAACTTAAACACATACATAATTAAGCACAGGAGAAAGAAAAGAGCTTTGGCAAATTAAGTTCTTAGAGACAATAGCTGTGGAAATTGTTTTAAGGCTTACAAATACAGGCTAATAATTTCTGGGGAGCACATACGAACTTCACAGAGGAACTCCTAAACCTTACAAATGGAGCACGAGTTCAGCAGGCATCACACACTGGCAATCTATATTCAAATGTAACCAGGAAAAGGACGATTTTACCATGAAGGATGTTGTCATATTACATTGTGCCCATGTGACTTAATTACCCATCCAACCTTGCAAATGGCCATTTGCCTTGACTCACTAGCAAATGTACTTTCGATGGCAGGGAGGAAGTGGGCGGCCGATTCTATTTGTTTTATTTTAGGCGCACCTTTAGGAGGCTTGGGGAGAAGATGTCTGGGCTAAGCATAGGCATAATTCTCTTCAAGGCTACACTTATCTATAATAAATTGGAAGCAGAATTAATATTAACTGATTAAGCTATTCATTATTTTAACTCTTGAGGTCAAGGGCAGAACAGTGTTTATGTTTATTGATGAGAGTCAATGGACAGAATGCTGAAGAAGGCCACATGTGCCTGTGAGCAGGCTCCACAGACCCACACTAAGGAAACTCCAGACCTCACCTTGCAGTCCTTGGGCCTCGTGCTTTTTTTCTCTTACCTCTCCATTGCCTACTGAATTCAGATGCCTACTGAACTACACGTACAGTGCTACACAGCATACAATGACACTTCACACTGTACCTCAAGGTACCTATGATTACCTAACAGTGCCACTGCAACTTCAGTTAGGTCTGGGTGCACTGTACCAGCATCTCTTCTGTTATGGATTGATTCTCAACGGCTTGAAGCAAGCCAAGTTTGCATGCGTGGCTTGGGCAAACTCCCCAGGTGACTGTGGTCAACTCCCCTCCACCACTTACCACCATTGTTACAAATCCTTCTGATTCCAGCCACACAGTTCCTTCAGTTGATTCCCATTTCTGGATGATCCTGGGCCAACCCACCAGAGAAATACCTTTATTTCACTTGTTTGACCCATAGACTGAGACCACAAGGTTCTGAATAGATTTTGGAAGGAAAGAGAAAGTCCAAATCTTTTGTTTTATTCCTATGACCTCAGGACTTTTGTTTTCTTGTCTGCAAAATGGGAGATTTTTTGGCAGACTTTGAGTCTCTATCAGAACACTTGTGAACTCTTTCTGAAGAATCCAGTTCTACACTAAGTAGGCGTGGAGGCAGGGGGCAAGCCTGAGATATATGCTCAGTATTCCTGATTTCTGTTATCTTACTGCTTAAAATCTCTATCTAGTAAATGAACACAAGTGGAGGAATCTTGAGGCTGAGGAGCTATGCCAACATTCAAAGGCTTCTCCTTCCACACTTCTCCATGGAGGATTACCAAGGAATCCACAACATGAGAAAAGTTTACGATGTGTCAATTCCCTCTATGCTTTCCTTGTTAACTGCCCCGGCCCAGAGGTCCTTGCAACAGCTCCTGGAACCACCAAGCCAGTGGTGACACAACCAGGAGCCACTTAGTCCAGACCTGGCAGGAGGAGGGCGTGTAGAGGTGGATTCCGAATCTACAGGGCAGCCCCCGTGGCTCTGTGCTAAAAGCATCCATGGTAGAGGATATTCATGCCACTCCTCAGAGACGGGAGAGAACCACAGCCCCGCCATCTCCAGATGCCAGTACATCCCTTGCCAACCAATTGTTGGCACAAGAGACAAGAGCACCACCCTTCAATGCTCTGCACTTCACCATACTATCATTAACTTGGGAGGAATGCAAACTTGACAGCGAATGAGAAGACAGAGCTCCGGTGACCTACTAAAATATAAATCACCTCATGGGAGATTACTTTGAAAAGGCTATTTTTTTTTTCTATCTCTTCTAGTTTTCCATCAAGGACATCAGAAAATCTTGACCCGGAAGCACAAAGAGATAAAAGGAAAGAAGAAGGCAGACATGTTTAGGAATGGCAGCACTGTGGAACATGTAGAGACAGACTGAACTGAACAGGAAGGTAGAAGTCTGCTTAATAGCCACTCATCTTTGAGTGAATTATTTAAATCCCTTTACATTATTTCCTGCTCTGGAAAAAGAAAAAAAAGTATGTACTTATCAGTCTATTCTGACAGTTGAAATCTGAAAAGTGCCTGGCATATAACAAGTTACCCAAGAAAGAGTATCTTGTGTTGTAATAGAAAAAAGTTTCAGTGACCTTTGGACCCCCATTAGCTTGTGAGCTCCTGGAGGGCAGGGATATGTCTCTGTCATTTTCATGCCTCTAGCATGCAGCACACCCAACTGCACATCCATGCCATGAGGTGGTTTGGGGCATCTGTGCCAAGGGCACAGAGCAAAACAAGGCAGATGTGGCCCCTGGCTTCAGATGGCTCGGTCTAGTGAGGTGCATGACAGCTAGACAGTGCCATGAATAATCAAAACCATACATGAATTAATTAACTAGTTAATAACAACGTTCTTGGGGGCTTTTGTGTGCGTATGTGTATGTTCATAAGAACCCAGACAATGTCAATGGCATAAAAGGAAGAAAATCTGTGAGTGCTTCAGATAATTGCCTTCCAACCTGGGGACTCAGGGCTGATGGGTTGACTCATTAAGCGGCAGGTCTCTCCCCAATCCATCCCCAGAGACCCATCAGGCTAGCCCAGGCAGCCTTTTGATCTGTCCTAACAGCCTTTTCCAAACCACTGCAAAATGTGCTGGTTCCTGGCCTCACTGCTTACATTCAAGCTGTCTAAAATGCAGTAACACATTTTTAAAACAGCAACTGGGATTTTAATTAAACTTCCAGGGATCTAGCCAAGGATATTTTTCTAAAAGAAAAGCAATATCTGCTGTTGGAGACAGAACATTTTATAACAGATATCTCATATATTATGATGTATGATAAATAGTGACATGCCTACCCCCGTGTGTGTGTGTGTGTGTGCGCGTGCATGTGTGTACTCTGTGTATGTCTGATGCACATCTTGCTTAATGAGAACACAGTCAGGAAGACAAATGCACTCCAGTTACTTAAACCATTCAGATATTTAAGGCAGACAGTTAATGGAACAACATAAGGACCTGTCTCTTAAGGGTAGGAGATTACCTTTTGTTCTCCCTGATGATTCCCTTTGATTTAAAAGGTTTTGACTCTAAGATTCAGTCCCAGTAAATGGCATTAGACATGGATTGAACTTCCACACACACTGGTGGGCAGCTGTCTAGCATGCAACTAAATCCAGGGAGGGTTGTAGTGGCATACTGCAAGTCCCTGCTGCCACACTCAGTGCTAATTGTGTTTACTATCAGACCAAGCCCCAGTAGCATAGCTGACAGTTTGGCAAGAGGATCACACCTGTCAGTTTTGCTTTTTGTAAATTTGTGCTCACTGCTTGGTCCACCACCCCCATAACTCTCATTCATCAAGCCCATCAGGTCCATAGAAAGTGAGCACTGGCCCTTACACAAAGGCTCAATTTGCTAATCCTCTACCTTCGTGCGTCAGGATCCCATATGGGTGCCAGTTCATGTCCCAAATGTTCCACATCTGATCCAGTTCTCTGCTATAGCCTGGGAAAGCAGTGGAGGATGGCCCAAAGCCTTGGACCATGCACCCATGTGGGAGACCCAGAAGAAGCTTGGGACTCCTAGTTTTTGACTGATCGCTCTAGCCATTACGGCCATTTGGAGAATGAACCAAAGGATCCTCCCTCTATCTCTCCTTTCTGTAAATCTGCATTTTCAATGAAAATAAACAAATCCTTAGAGAAAGAAAGAAAGAAAGAAAGAAAGAAAGAAAGAAAGAAAGAAAGAAAGAAAGAAAGAAAGAAAGAAAGAAAGAAAGAAAAAAAGAAAGAAAAAAAGAAAGAAAAGAAGAGAAAAGAAAGCAAGCAAGCAAACATCACAGCCTCACAGCCACTCAGGTTCCTACAGAGCTGGAACAGTCTGCACCCAGGTCAGTATGAATACCACACCTGTGCTCATTCCCATTTCAAGTCCATGAAAGGGAGGCACAAGGAGCAGACCTATCTGGAACTGGCAAGCAATCTTGGGCAGAAGGCCTGGAGGCTCAGAAGAGTGCACTGTCTTCCTATCCCGAGATCATGGCATAGCCATAAGGCCAACAGTGACAAATGTCTCCTGGCCCATCTGGCACAGGGCTGTGGTGAAGCTTCAGCCGTGGCACTGACTGGGTACCATTACTTGTTCTATGAATGTGGAACAGGAATCTGGGGTGATAGAATTGAGTCCTGCTTCTCTGACACAT